GAGTCTCAGTCCGTCGCCCAGAATGGAGTGCAGTGGCCACTCCCGGCCACCACAGCCTCGACCTGCTGGGCTCCGGCGATCCTTCCGCCTCAGCCTTCCGAGTAACCGGAACTACAGGCACGCGCTACCACGCCCGGCTGATTTTTGATTTATTGTAGAGATGAGGTCTCGCTGCCCAGGCGGGTCTCGAACCCACGGGCTCAGGCAATCCACTCACCTCAGCCTCCCAAAGGCGCGGGATGACAGGCTGAGCCACTGAGCCCGGCTGGGCATCTTTATCTAGACACATCACAGACACCCCAAACTCAGCATCCCAAAACTGTTAACATCCTCTTCATCCAAACCTGCTCCTCCTCCCAGGCTTCCCCTACTGTGAGTAGCACCACCATCAATCCAAGGGCTGGAGAGGAAAGCTGGACGCCATTTCTGACATGTTGCTTTCCCATCCCAAACACTCTGGAGTCATCAAAGCCAAACCCTGCTCCTGGTCGGGCTTGATGGCTCAGCCTGTAATCCCAACACTTTGGGAGGCCGAGGCAAGTGGATTGCCTGAGCCTGCAGGTTCGAGACCAGCCCGGGCAACTTGGCGAGACATCGTCTCTACAATAAATCAAAAAATTAGCCAGGCGTGGTAGCGTACGTCTGTGGTTCCAGCTACTTGTAAGGCTGTGGCGGAAGGATCGCTGGAGCCCAGCAGGTTGAGGTTGCGGTGGCCGGAGGGGCCACTGCACTCTAGTCTGGGCGACAGAGTGAGACTCCAACGCAAAAAAAAAAAGAGAAAAAAAATAAATCAGCCGGGCGTGGTAGCGAGTGCCTGTAGTTCTGGCTACTTGGAAGGCTGAGGTAAAAGGATCGCCGGAGCCTAGGAGGTTGAGGCTGCAGTGGTTGTGAGCGTGCTACTGCACTCCAGCCTGGGCAACATAGTGAGTAAAATTAAGTTTGTTTGTTTGAGTTGGAGTCTCACTCTGTCACCCAGGCTGGAGTGCAGTGGCCGCTCCCGGCCACCGCAGCCTCGACCTCCTAGGCTCCGGCGATCCTTCTGCCTCAGCCTTCCGAGTAGCCGGAACTACAGGCGTGCGCTACCACACCCGGCTAATTTTTGATTTATTGTAGAGATGAGGTCTCACCAAGTCGCCCAGGCGGGTCTCGAACCTCCGGGCTCAGGCCATCCACTCACCTCTGCCTCCCCAAAGCACGGGATTACGGGCTGAGCCACCGAGCCCGGCGAGAATCTGCATTTCTGACAGGCATCTCTAGGGGAATCTCCCAGAGGAATCCAGGCTTTTGCTGCAGATGCAGTAAGGCTGTGATCATACTTCGAGTGCCGAGATTCTCTGCCCTGTCCGATATGGTAGCCACTAGTCACACATGGTTGTCTAAACGATTGAAACAAAATAAAATTTAAAATTCAGTTCCTCGTCCAGGTGCACTACTAGCTCACCCTTGTAACCCCAGCACTTTTGGAAACCACGGCGGGAGGATTGCTTGAGCCCAGGAGTTCGAGACCAGCCTGGGCAATATAAGACTAAGATCAAAAAAAAATTAGCCGGGCGTGGTGGCAAGCACACAGTACCAGCCACCGGGGAGGCTGAGGCAGAAGGATGGCCTGAGCTCAGGAGGTCGAGGCTGCAGTGAGCGTTGACGGTGCCACTGCACTCCAGCCTGGGGGCCAAAGGGAGTCTCCAGCCCGAAATAGTCAGGCCCTCGGTCGCACTGGCCCTTTCAAGCTCTCAGCATCCCCCTGTGGCTACCCTACTGAGCAGCGCGGATCACGAGGCATCTCCACCCGCGCAGAAAGTTCTCCGGGGCCGCGGCGCCCAGACCTCGGCGGGTGGTCCAAAATTGAAGGCGGACCCCGGTGCCTCTCCGCCCCCTGCCTCCAGGCTCCTGCTTCTAGGGAGCATAAAAGACGTCGGGAGCCAGGCGCGAAGCTGTGGGAGGACGGGACAGGGGCTGCTACACTCACGGAGGACGGGGAAGCCGAGGCCAGACCACGGAGAGGTCCCCCAGCCCGGACCCCACGGGAAGCTCTCATCCGGAGCCGGGGGTCTCACCAAGCAGGAGGCGGGCCGAGAGCCTCGAGCCCATTGGCTGCTGGCAGGGGGCGGGTCGCCAGCGCTTCTCTTTGATTGGCTG